TGTTTTAAGCGTGGTATATAGAACGTTTACAAACAGTTGTGTTGCAAATTTAATAATTAAGTGTAGTACAAAATAATAATTTGTGTTACAACTCGATAAGTCGGATCTCTTGATAAGTCGGACCATCATGTTCAGCCGTGTCCGACTTATCGAGTTTACCTATGTGTGCTTGTGGTATTTGGGAATGGAATAATAGAATGGTGCTTGTGTGATTGAACTATTGTCTAGGGTTCACGAATTTGTCATGGTCAGATCATAAATCAAATAGTTGGACAGGTTGATTATGAGGATTTGGAATATCTTATTACCTTTAATACAATCCATTGATAATCAATGGGAACCAAATCAGGACAGCACGGAAAAAGGCCTAATTCCAGGACGCAGATTCAAAAAACGATTAATAAATGTAAATAGATCTTCTGATGCAACTTTGGGGTGTTGCAATAAATTCATTTATTCATTCATCTATAATTATTTATAATCTATGAATTATAAGAAATCAAAATATTTGCAAATAAGTAGTGCTCATTTTTGGGGATATTTTAGTAGTTCTTTTCCTATGGATTTTATACTTGCCAATTTTGTTTCCAACATTGAAGAAAATCGATCATTCTTTCATTCTGCAAGTTCATTATCAATTTTCTGCAGATAGTTTCTAAATTTGTAGAAATCTGCATTAGTTACACACTGAAATTCATTGCTCTCCAACACAAAAAAATTATTCTAGTTACTAAAATATTTTTCGATTACGAACATAGAGTCACAAATGGTATCGCAGGGGCTCGATCTAGTAAATTATTATTATTATTATATGGGGCCATACATGATAGCGAAATTATAACTAGTACTAGTTTTCGAAATAATAATAATAATAATAATAATAATAATAATAATAATAATAATAATAATAATAATAATGATAATAATAATAATAATCATTATTATTATTATCATTATTATTATGTAGCAAGCAGATAATCAAAATCGAAATTAAAATCGAAACGAAATCAAAAAATTTGAAAGATATAATAATATATTAATATTAATATAAGTTGATTACCCCATTTAAAATGACCCATAAAAAAATAAATATTAGTATTAATATCCTAATCAGGCTACTTGTGAAACTTGTTCGTTCACTACTTGATAATAAAAAGTTGATTATCATAAAAATCTTTTTTTAAAAAAAAAAAAAAATCATTTTTAAAAATTTTTTCGTTTTTTTTTCTTTTCCTCTATAATTTATTATTTATAAACTAACATTCCAACAAAAATGGTTATTGCAACAAACTTAGGTTTTCCTCGTATGGGTGCTAATCGTGGGTTAAAAACACTTGTTGAGGGCTTCTGGTCTGGAAAAAATAACGAAACTACTCTTCTTGATGATGCAAAGGTATATATACAATGTCTTGGAGTAGTGGTTTTAATATTCTGTACCATCCATCATCTTTTCTTATACTATTTCTGAATGCTTTAGAAACTTCGTGAAGAACATTGGTTACTCCAAAAGAATGCTGGTCTTGATCACATTCCGTCTAATGATTTTTCCTTCTACGACCAAGTGGTCGACCACTCTTATGCTTTTGGTGTCATCCCTGCCCGGTATAAAAATCTCAATCCTGGACTTGAAACCTATTTTGCTATGTGTAGAGGTCTTCAAAAGCCAGGAGTTGATGTTGCTGCTTGTGAAATGAAGAAATGGTTCGATACAAACTGTGAATACCAAGTCTTTTTTTTTTACTATATATATTTTATATGTTAATTTATTTATTTCCCATTGATTAATCAATAATATTATTTTTACCGCAGACCACTACATTGTCCCCGAATTTGAACCAAACCAGGAATTCACTCTCAATTCCGCCAAAATCATCAACGAGTACAAAGAGGCTAAGGCTTTGGGTATTGAAACTCGTCCAGTGATTTTGGGCCCAGTCACTTACCTGCTTCTTGGAAAACCAACAAGAGATGCCCCTCAAGGATTTGAACCAATTCAGTTACTGAGCAAACTCATTCCTTTGTATGAAAAATTACTATCTGAATTGGCTAATGCCGGGGCTACATGGATCCAAATGGATGAGCCATACTTAGTACTCGATCTTCCCTCCACCTTCAAGAAAGAATATGCTTCTGCCTATAATGCACTTACCAAGGTGTCTGCCCAGTTGAAAATTTTGGTTGCAACATATTTTGATCACATTGGTACCAACCTTGATTTCATTATCGACACTCCCATAAATGCAATTCACATCGATCTGGTCCGTGCTCCCGGACAATTGGAACCAATTTTGAAACGGTTACCTGCAACTGTTTCCCTCTCTCTTGGGTTGATCAATGGACGTAATATTTGGTTAGCCAATTTGGATGCTGTTTTGGCTGAAGCTCAGAAAGCTGTTACTGCTCTTGGTTCTGAACGTGTTTTCATAGCACCATCTTGTTCTCTTTTGCACACTCCTCATTCAATCCAAGGTGAGAAGAAAATAGATTCTGAAATTTTGGGTTGGTTATCTTTTGCTGTCGAAAAGATCAAAGAAGTGGTAACCATCTCTAGTGTGTTGGCTGATGGTGATCAGACAAAGCTTGAGGCTAACCGCAAATTGTAAGTGTTTATTAGCTAACTTTTCTATATAATTTAAACGTTGTTGACCAAGTCAAATATTTGTATTCAGAGTCCAAGCCCGTAAAACATCATCACGTATTCATAATCCTGTTGTGAAGCAGAGAATGAAGGAACTCACTCCTGATATGTTCAAACGTAAATCTGTTTTCAGCGAAAGACAAATTAAACAAAAGCAAAAATTAAATCTTCCCTCCTTCCCAACAACCACTGTTGGATCTTTTCCCCAAACAAAAGAAGTTCGTGCTATCCGTGCTAAGCTCAAGAAAGGTTCTGTAGATCAATCACAATATGATAGTTTCATCAAGGAAGAAATTGAGAAATGTATTCGCTTCCAAGAAGAAATTGGTATAGATGTTCTTGTACATGGAGAATTTGAACGTAATGACATGGTGGAATTCTTTGGTGAAAATTTACAAGGTATTTATTTATTTATATATATTTTTTAAAGTAGTCTTGTTTATGGAAAATACACATTTGATTATTAATTATTGATTTTTCTATACAACAGGATATGTTATTAGTCAGAATGGTTGGGTTCAATCTTATGGGTCACGTTGCATTAAACCACCTATTATATTTGGAGATGTTTCTAGACCAAAAGCCATGACATTAGAAATTATTAAATATGCTCAATCCTTAACCAAAAAACCTATGAAAGGCATGTTAACTGGACCAGTAACCATGCTTCAATGGTCTTTTGTTCGTGATGACCAACCCCGCAAGGATACCACATTCCAATTGGCTCTTGCCATTCGTGAAGAAGTAAAAGATCTTGAAGATGCTGGCATTTCTGTGATTCAGGTATGCAACGTTATTTGCTTCTGTATTAGCGTAGTTATTGTTATCATAATAATTATATTGGTAATTGCTTAGATTGATGAACCTGCTATACGTGAAGGATTACCTCTCCGTAAGAAAGACTGGGATGAATATCTCAAATGGGCAGTTGACGCTTTCCTTCTTTCTAGTACCGGTGTTGATGATTCTACTCAAATTCATACCCATATGTGCTACTCGGACTTTAATGACATTTTTGAAGCAATTCAACGTTTGGATGCCGACGTAATTACTATTGAAAACTCTAGGTCAGACTTGAAACTTTTGAATGCATTTGATAAACATGGGTACACCAATGAGATCGGTCCAGGTCTCTACGATGTCCATTCTCCCCGTGTTCCTTCACAAGAAGAATTGAAAGATCGTCTGCAAGAAATTCTCAAATATATTGCCAAGAACCTCATATGGGTGAATCCTGACTGTGGTTTAAAAACTCGTGGCTGGCCTGAGGTAAAAGCGGCATTGAAAAATATGACTGATGTTGCAAAGGAATTCAATAAAATTGAAGCTGCTCATTAATTAATAAAAGTTGGTGTTAGAATCATTTAAAAAAAATTTTAAATTCTAGAAGAAACATTGATTTTATTTATTACAATAATTACAATTTCTAAATTTCATTTTTCTTTATAAACTAATAAAAAATTAAAATTTTCAAATTTATTATCTTGGCACCTTGTTACGCGGTTGTTTTGTGCTTTTGTCAGTTATGTTGTGATATAAAGACTATTAGATTTCTTGATTGCGCAACAGAGAATAATGTGTATCATTGCATTACATATTAAGAATTTAAACAACACTTATTATTTCATGATTTTAGCACCAGGATTCATATATTGTAATATAGTGGCCATTAGTATTAGTACAATGAAAAAAAATCACGCAAGACCATTATTATATCCTTAATATCTTTAACAAGTTATGAATTAAACCCTGTCTATTTCCTTGACTCGCTGGACTACACCTATTTAGTAAGTGATATAATAATAAAGTTTAACAGCAGTAACAACAATAACCTTTGTAACATTCCAGGAACTTTCATTACAAACTGGTGTAATTTTTTGTATGTATTTTTATTTTTGTGTCAGAATTATTAAAAAATTCCGCGTTAAGATTTCAAAGCAATTGGGCAATAATATTTCATGTCTTTTTTTATTTTTTTTTTTTTGCTTGAGATATGCAATTTTTTGTCATTGCCGTTTTTTTCTTAACACACTGTATGTTTTAGTAACGCGAATTTAATTATAATTCGTTGAAACAAAATTCATTGAAACAAAGAATTTTCATTGGATTAATTTATTTATATGTATTAGATAGATATCTAATCAACTCAATTCAATTTCATGATATTAGTTAGTATGTATATATTGACTTGAATTTCGTTAATTTGTTCGAAGTCTTACTAGTGGTTGAATCCGCAGAATGATATTAATGATAATATTATAGATCAATATTATGTAAAAAGCTCAATTTTTGGTCAGATGACCCCAGAGGTGGTTTTTGCTGTGAAACGTCCCATATTGTTTGACTGATTATGCAAATAAATCAATAATTATTATTTGTTAAATAGGAATAAATAGGGAAATTCTTGCTCCTAATAAAAAAAAAATGAATGAAGGTATTTTTTTCTTACACAGAAAATAACTATTT